ATAATACATAATACCCCAGTCTTTCAGACTTTAATATCGAATCAGGTGAAAGGGGAATAAAAAAGTCCCCGAACTCCAGCGAGGAATAATTCATTGCGGACAAGTTGCCACAACAATGCTGGGTAACAGGCAAAAGTCGTGACCGCAGGTGGGACTCGAATCCGCACCTTTCTGGACGACTGTGCTATCCGCTGGGCAAACAGGTATCATAATAAAACAATTCATTGGGAAAGCCTTCAGCATTGGAGTCCAATGCCAATATCGGCTGGCCCACCTATCGCTTTGAACGTGTGAGTACCATAAGGTAATTGCACAAAAACCATTGAGCTGAGAGTGACTTGCTGCGGTAACACACTCGCCCGGAAAGCTTTGGGTGCAGGTTAGCTCCGCCCAGGGATCAAGACTTTCGCCCATAACTCAGCATACTCAGGCTAGTTTCGCTACGCGGAATGCGATGTTAAACAATTACCATAACAAAGTCATCCCAGTTAAAGGTTCCTAATTGAAAATCAAAATATAACTACTTTCGGATAAAGCATAACTGTAACACACACCAGCTATGATAGAGCAAATCAACTTCGCCTTCCTCTTCAACGGGTGGTAAGAATGCAAACGGAGTGATACTTTCGTCGCCTAAAGAAGAGCATTATTCACTGAAGTCACCATCATTCATCAAGGATAACACTAGATTAACAATTGGAAATGAGAGCTGAGAAAACGCTCCGGAAACGGGTAGGGGGCTGCGTATTTGCTTGAAGGTGGCGTCAATGTGGCTTCAGCTGTATATTGCAATGTTGGGCAATTGCAATGTCTTTGTTCTGCGCAAGGTAGGAATACACTTATCTCAACAAGAAACACCCAACAAAGAAACTTTTCTATGGTATGCACAAAGAATGCCATGCAGGAAGAACGCAGTCTCGCCCTCCCCTCTACTGAACATGAAATGTAAGATGTGGAAAGAAAAACTCACGTATAACAATTTTGCAGTAATCCTCTCCATACATTCTGCGGCACACCAAAACCGTCATTGCCAGGAGTTTCCGTGCCCAAGATTCTATGACGGTAACCTAAGCATAGATTATTCCTAAATTCTTGTTTGAATTTTTAGCATAATAAAAGTAGGAAGAACTTGATAGCACAAGTAGTGAAAGATTATGAGCGATGGAGACTAAGTAACTCACATGATGGCGCCATCGTCGGCATAAAGCGGCCAGCGTTCGCCAATAAGTAGGTGAAGGGATCTCTTCGTTGAGCACTGCGTGGAACCAGAGGTCAAAGAGTGTATCCACAACTCTTGATCCAACGCGCATACCCATTTCTTCTGAACGAAATGAACAATCAGACTGAATAGCAATGAAAAATAACCGAAAGCCATTTTTCGTCAGACAATCTGAAAACAAACCTGGGAAAAGTGGATCTGCCAGGAGGAGATCGGCTGAATTGAGTAGAAAGCTTAGAGTACGAGCCCATACCTGAAAGCTCTTGCGATTGGAAAAGGAACACTCTCAACTAATGATTTACGATCGATTTTCTTTTGGCATTAGCATTAGTTATTAGCCTGTTGTCTTGATAAAGAAGTTGGATGAAAGTGATTCTCAGGGAGGCTTCACCAAGGCTACACATACTCTCGACTCGGGAAGCCGAATGGCAATTTCAATATGTTTGTGGAATCGAGTCACACTTATTGCATGTAAATTACCCGCTTTATCCCGGCCGAAAAAAAAACCCGAACAACTCACGTCAGGAACAAAGTAGAACTGCAAAATGAACATGTACTAACCTCGTTTTGGTATTTCCTACTCGCTGTTAGGGTCAGTTCCCGGACGGCGTCCAAGACAGTTTCAACCTCGCGTGCTTGTCGTTCAATTGCCAAACCCCTTGGGACCTGGAATGTAGAACCCATATGGGATTTTGAACAGAGTCTATATTCGCGAATCACATTGAGCTGACTTCCAAAGCGCAGACATAAGAGAGCTGTTAATACCCTACTAAATAATCGAAATGGACTTGACCGCATTTTGATACCAACCTCTCCTCTAGCATCAATTCGACGACAAGAACAGGTGTCGCAACGCCTCAATTATGGTCCTGCAATCAAGATATTAGATTTAAGCTCTCATGTTAAGAATAATCTGAGTAAGAATCTTAGTCGAAACACTCAAATGCTTTGACAAGCTCAATTCGACATTTCAGACGGCCCACAAAAAACTCGTACTAAACTTTGTTAAAGCTTCTTCAAAGCGAAGTCTGATACTGCATACCATTTCGATAATGGTTCATATTTTTTGCAAGGGATGTACTGAATGAGACCTATTCAGCCTTTTCAGCTTATTTCATGTTTGATATTTAATTGGCTATTCTATTATCGAGTGCAAAAGCAGAGACAATTAAAAAAACAAAACTGCAATAGCAGTAATATCCAGACCGACGCTTGACTAAAATATGCACAAAGAACACTGTTAGCAACCCACCTAAAATACTTCTCTGGTGTGTCCACCAAAGGCGTTGGGATATTTCCTTCCGGAAAATCAGTCAAAGCTCTAAGCCAATGCAGATAGATGCGTACTGCACCACGAACCGTCTCGAATTCGCGATGAGTGGTGAAAGAGAGCGTGAGCGAATAGTTCAACACCTTAACATGCAAACTTGAGAAAAAAATAACACTGAATTCTCTGCTTTAAAGAACTCCTCAAAAGCGTTCCTATAAAAAGACTTCGCTGAAGTAGAACACGAGCTGTAATAAGTGGCTAAGTACGAGAATGATCTTGACGACTACAAAAACTGCGAAACTTCTACGGTCTTTTTTGGTCATCAATTTCTTAACGATCTTCATGGATTCTGGTGCGCTAAATCCTGCAAACTCTGGGATACAAATAAGGATGATGATAAAAAACCGCTCTACATTTAGTCCAAAACGATTAAAACGGTTATTACAAAGGAAGCTAATTGTGGAAGGGTTTCAAACGAGAATTTTAGCTTTCACTAAATGAAAACCTCACATATACTCGTAGGTACACAATGCTCTACCATGAGGCCAAATAAAGACAAACAGTACAATCACCTCCGATGACGGTTCTTGCCATGTGCGAGGTGAATGGTGCGCAGCTGCAGCAACGTGCCACTTCCACCGCTCGAAACTGCACGGGAAGAGGCTGCAGGGTAGTGGTACCCCAGATTTGTCCCCGTACAACACCTACGCTATTCGCAGGAATAGTTCCTACATCGATATCGTGGTACCAAAGCGAAACACGCACTAATTGTTAGAGAACAACCACAGCGAAAGAGCGTGAAGTGTGTTTGGCTATGGTTAGGCATGTGGTTGACCGTGCGGCAGAGCAGGCAGGGAATGAAGACGGCCCTGCGTACCACTACCCTCCAGCATGTTCCCGTGCACTTTTAATCGGAAAAGTTGCACACCGATGTAGCTGCGGACCCATTCTCCCCACACATGGCAAGGATCGGAACCTACGGAGGTAAATGTACAGTTTGTCTTCAAACCACAGGCAGTCTACACGCAGTACACACCAGCAACAGCATTTTGGGTTTCAAAGGTAGTTCAACTTCGTCACTGCAAAAGCTAACTTTGTCGCGTTCCCATCTCCATTCAGAAGGAATCAAGCAACGTCCATCAATATCCTGGTAAATAAAAAGACTATTTTGTCTGGTGGCACTTGTTTTACATGGATTCTTAGCGCGCAAGGTTCTATGAAGGAAGACGCGTATAGCTCGACAATGACAAAATCGTAAGCAAGTATATCTATCAAGCAGCAGTTTCGAGAAAAACACAAATAGGCACTTTTCAATCGATATAGTGGGAAATCATACATCCTTCTGCTCTGTACACTGTGAAAAACAAAGAAACAGTTACCTGCATGCACCATCTTAACTGCTCATCAGTTTGAAGCCTGATTGGTACCTGATCCTCATCATCGCTGATTGACCTTGTGAGCTCAGAGAGAAGTGCAGAAGACACCGATTCACTTGTTGCCCTGATAAAAGCAAAATTAGGACACTAGTAAGGAAAGGGTGTTTAATTGGACGAAAACTCAAGCCGCCTGGCACATTGCTCAAACAAACACGGAAATGCTTTAGATGAGATTCAATACCAAAAAAACCCCGATAACGCTCTTCCCGAACTTTAATAGCTTACCACGTGCTATAGAGAAAGATGATGACACCAAACCTGAACATGGGAGCCATTGACATCACGTCACATCATAAGGCACACTATGGCTAGCGCGAGGGTGCATTATTAGTTTCTGGCACTATTCACTTTTCACCACCCCGTTCCTCGGAATCTAGACCAGTTTTTTTTTACTCTCGCAAACCCCAGTTGCACGAATTAAATGCTTGAGGAAGTTTTCCTTTCCGGATACCTTTAGGTATGCCTCGGTCCCCGGAGCTAGTTCGGCTCCTGAACATGGATACCACATCCGTTCAAAATGAGAGCGCCTGGTGTACGCGCAAGGAAAGGCAGCACCACACGAACTTTTGGTTGCCGGCAGTCATAGCGGAATACCAGGCGTTTTCACGCCAAACTACTCCGACATTCGTGTTCATGGGATCGAAATGTCACCGATGGTAAATCTTTAGCAAATCTGACGGCTCAAGCTTTAGCAAAGGCGCCTCTGGCGCTGGCTCTACCGAGTCGATGCTATATTCGTGAACAGTGGCTCAACTCCGAGAGGAACAAAATTTCAGCCAAATCTACTGAATAGTAAAATGTATCGATCAAAGGCTGGAAGGAATTTCGAAGAATGGAGCAGGAGAGGGTAAATAATGTCCCTCTTCAAAAAGACTAAGGTAATAACTAAATTTTACATGCGACCAGGATGTTACTGGTGGGTGACAGGAAGTGATTTCAGCTGATAAGATCCGATAACAGGCTTCAGGAGGGACGGGCCGCCAACTCCATGACGTGGATCGCAACAACAATAGTGGGGAGGGTATATACTGGGTTGGCCCTTCATTGAAGGCGCTTTTATTTTGCACATATTTTTAAATGAAAAGCGATAGTTGCTTCAATGCTCCAGGCTAATTGATAGATAATTTTGTGCTCTGCAAGGCAGCATGTTTGAGTTTCTATGGTTTCTCTATTTTTGGCAATTTTCATCCCACTGAAATGTGTCAGACTGACACAAATGGGAGCTTCTGGCAACAAGTTTTGATTTTTTGAAGCTAATCTATCAGGACCCATCCACCGCATATCAAACCTCTCCTATCAAGTGATGTGAAGCGAAACTGGAATCTTTAAATCACCTAAGCCGTAATATGGATTTCTAACAATAAGAGAAGTAACTTTTCAATCAAGTTATTAATAAATAAGCCTGAGCGGTTTATCTGTTTGCCTACATGTAAAAAAAGACAGGTCAAAAATGCCTAATTTCGTGACCATGGCTGGCTTTCCGATTTTAGCACTCGAAAATTAATGAATCTTCACAAAAACAGAGAGGACTATTCTATGGGCAAGGAGTGGACTGCGAAACATTGTGAAACTCAATTGCAACTTTCCATCTTTAACGCAAAATTCTGAGTGAAAAAACGCCGTTACTTATGGAGCAACACAGTGCATTGCGCCTGAAACGAGAAAAATCAGCGGTACCCCTTCCAGGTTCCAAAAAAGATTATGTTTAAGGGAAAAATCGATGTAAAAGAGGTACCAGAGGGTGGAGGAAGTGGTTACAGATTCAGGGTGAACATATCCTATAGCTGGTAAGCCTTTTAAGGTTCCCCACGTGATGCATGCGACTGAGTACGCTAGTCAACTGTTTTGCAAAACCGATACACTATTGAATACAAATGGAAAGCAAATGACAAATCGAAAAACTTATCGAGAAAGAATTCAGAAATAATTCTCTTACTTGGTGAAAAGGTCGAATATTGACTTGCTGAGGTCTGGAAATTCGAGTGTCGGCCAATCCTCGTACATGGCGGGTGATCCTGACACCAACACGGCTCGTTCACCGCCACCCGTTTTGCACTCGTTCCCACTCGGCTCAAGCACGTCCTTCAATAAAGTGATAATTTGCTCCATTTACACCAATCGGACACGGCAACGACTTCTCGTGCACCACTGAGACAGCCTAGCAGACGATTTTGACGAATAGAATACGAATAGAATGGGCGAGCTATCTCTCAGACAATACTTAGTCGTAGTCAGTAACGAATATCACGGTTGCAATGTACGTGATGTCGAAGGGAGACTATTGTAACCTTCGACTGTCCGTTCTACGTGGCGCAGGAGACGATATCCCGCTGTGATTCACGTGGTGCAACCACTCAAAAACAATCCTTCCATCCTAATTGGAGAATTCTTATCCTACACGATCAGCGTGGCCAAACTTCCCCATAGGAGAACGTTAGTTCTCGCCAAATTTTTGATTTCGGCGAGCAATAAATGAAGTGCTCGCTGTTTCAAGTACACTGCACGATTCATGCATGCCAACCCGGTTTCCAAAGCTAACAGCGAGGCTGATACGCTTCTGCTGAACAACCAATGAATGCAAAACAAGGGCAATGTTCACTTGGTCCCATATACTGAACGTGAGCAGGGTCATTCTAGCCTTCCGCGCTCAATTTCGGGAATTGTTTACAGGGTACAGAAACGCGGTGTGTGAAATGTCGGTGTCAGTGACCCCACCCCAACTCCAAATTTTCCTCTTTGATACCACCCTCCTGCCCTATCCTACCAACTATCTTCCTACGTTTGCCCGACTTTCTACCGTTTTGGGAGCATTCCAGAGAAATTTTATAGTTTCACTCTGTAAAGACTGCCGTCGAGCGGGAAAGGGGGAGGGGAGGGGTAATGGGATGTGAGGCGCGTCATCTATCAACTAATAAGTTCAACTATCAAAATTAGTAGTTGCGTGGTAATTTAGAATTTTCTCACGGCTTCGGAAATTACTTCTCACAAGCCTACGTCCCCTCCCCCCACCCTCCCATGTGATTCTCCAAACGATGTGTACCCTGTATTGATTCAGCGAGCACAAGCGTACACCGGCGTTTTCAATTTCCTCAAGTTTGAAGGCAGTTGGCACGATAAATCACCAAGACGTGTAGGATTGATATGCCTTGCAGGACGGAATCCCGCGACCCTGAGCAGTTGCTGCGCCTTTTTCCAGGAAGGTACCCTTATAACCCCTTATCAAGCTACAACATACCGACACAAACGCCCACCGCGCCCGCCCGCCCACAAATGGACGACAGTACCCGAGTCGCTCGCTTGCTTCCATTTGCTAGGGTCAGAAAATATGAATGCGTAGGGATTGGTATGAAGGGGGGCTGCGGCGCTGGCATGGATATATAAGTAGGCATCGTGCAGCCGTACACCTGACGCGCAGCATTTACTGCAAGTTTGGCCTACGCCTGGGGACTGCCGTCCGGTAAGATGTGCCTCTTTCTTCTACGTGAAGAAGGAGACTTCCTAAGCAAGGTGACAGCTTTCACTTTGTGCTTTTTCGCGCGCGTTTGTCCACTTTTAGCCGTCTGCTAGCCTTTGAAGGGCTGAGTCAAAGTTGATCTGTGCAAACTGCCATTCGAAAGTGAGCCGCGAAAAGACGCTGCTGTACTATAAGGCATCATGCATACACATCACGCACATATAATTTGGTTCGACTGAGTGAGCTTAAGTGAACGCTCCCCTACGCAAAGAATTATATAAACGAATCCAGACCAGCTATTATTTTTCGGACAACTTATGCGACCTTCACACTTTTCGTCGGCGTTTTGGACCAGTAGGGAAGTATAGATATGATCTAGGGCCTTGATCTAGAAACGGCCAGCCTCTTGGAGCGTTCGCGGCGAGAACGCTAGAGCGCGTTTGACGAAAAGCAAAATATAGGTACGCGGAATCAAAGTGTCTCAAGCGCGTTTCCCAAAAACGCTAAAAGGTAACAGAAAAGTATGGACGCAGCCGTCGACCAGCCTACGTTGCGCTCTTGATCTACCGAGTCGCAAGCGTCTCAGTTACCTATCTTTGAAAAATGTATTTGCAACGAAGCCAAATAACGTAGCAGTTGGTGTCAGCACCAGCTAGTCACAGAAGTAAACAAGAGGAACAGATCATGGATAAACAAAGTGGTTGTAAAGTGTAGATGATTCCCAAGCGAGAGACGGAGATCTGAGAGATGTATAACGTTCATGCAGACGAACTGCTTGCCACACTGCTGCATAACGTATGGTTGACGGCTGTGCGTTGTTAATCTCAATCATTATTCCTTCTCTTTTGTATCGAGAAGCGCTGAAGCAACGGGTGAGAAATTCCCACAGGACGTCGCATTCCAAGGCGGTCTCGCTCTCAAATTATTTGTAGGCGTCCTTTGTAGGAACAGTCCGACCCTCAGCCTTTAGGACTGTCCCGCCTTCACGGCTTCACGACAACTAACAAAGCGTTCATAAGCGGCAGTTCTGACGCCTCCCTAGTTGCCCCGCCCACCTAAACATGAAGGTTATTTTCCGCCACGTCTCAAACAACGCATTTTCCATTTTTATTTCATTGTTACATTGGCTGACGCGAAGAGACGGTCAAAGAGCCGAGAGCGACAGGATACCGCTTCGCTGGCATAAAAAGAGCAGGTCCGGAGAACTCATACAGCCTTAGAGTGTTCTCCACTTTTTTTGCTATTTTCTATTCTTCAGTCACTTAGCGACTAAAGGTTCGTAGTGAACGCCACTGCCGATATGCAATCGCGGAACCGTCTTCAATGAATTCTGGAAGGGAGCCGTCGATTAATGGCTTGAAAAGGAACAAACTGTAAGCATCGAGGAGACAGCGACGAAGGTGGACTAAAAGCGCGTGATTAATTGGCAGTGAAATTAGTTATGCATTCTGATAAGGAAGATGAGAGAGCGGGGAAATTTCCGACTGAAAAAAGGTTCCCACGAAAGACTTTCGCTTGATTTTCGTGGCGAAGCAACTTCTCACACATGTGCTTCAAAGAATACGTGTCACTTGAGTCTCTTTCAGGCCATAAATGAAAAGCGAACGCTGCTGGCCCTTAATTTTATGAACACTTCATTGAATTCGACTTTCGCTTATTGCAAAGACGAGATTTCCTTGCAGAATGCAGAGCGATGAAAAAACTTGGAACAACCCAATGACAGGCATTTCCAACCGTTTCAGGTTGCCCTACAAACCCCTAATAGTGCAATTTGTTAGTAATGTAACGTAATAACATGGCAATATTACTAATTCGGAAGGGCGGTTGCGGTGTAGAGGCGAGTGGCTTAACCGACCATGAGTGCGGTCCAAGGATCAAATCCTGGACCGACTCGCTCCCGTCGAAGTCTAGCAAGTTTTTCTCTAGTTAAGTGGTATCAGACTCGTCTGGGAGAATCAGAACGCTGAAATGTTCATCGGCCGGCCCCGCACGTCCTAGCAAAGGCCATGTCACATTCAAGAGCCACATCAATACTAAATAGAAGTGGAATGTGTGCAGCATTCTAAGAAGGACTCATTAAAGGCGAAAGCTTTATCCCTCGAGGTTTTTTTTGAGCAGTAAAGCTTCGTGTTGTGCTGCTGGCCCTCACAACACTGGGATGTTTTAAGCTGCATAGTGGGCGTTTCTAAGTCAGGCCCACTTCCCTTATCGAACGAAGCGTTAGGCTTGTTCAAGTGCTCTTTTCCTTGTTCCCCCTCCCATGGTCGTGTACGCTTTTAGAGCCTCACAACCGTCCCAGGACATTGAGCTAGCCTACCTCCTTCTTTTCTCTCCTTCCTTATCTCTCCCTCTTCCTTTTCCTTGCCCTCGTCAACTTTGGGCCAGTAGATGTGATAAGAAAATACCTCCGGAACCTCGCAGTGAGAGCATGTTTAGTTAACAGAAGCTCTGTAACCTCACAACCTTGACAAAAATGGACCCAGTTGGACGTGGTAGCAGCGGGCCAATATTTACCTTACTATCCAGCAGCAGGCTAAATAAGCCAATACAATTTTTCAAAGTAACTTTTCCAGGCGGGTTTGAGTCAAGATTAACAAATTTTCATATGCAATTCTAAAAAGCCCGATAAACAATCAAAAGGGCTCGAGTCTGACTCGTTCCACGTCTTCCTTTCCGCTCCCGAAGCTAGCTGGCATTATTACAGCTGTTCTGCTTCAGTAGTATTTCACGAGGCTGACACACAGTCGTTTTCGCTGTTAACGCTGGGGCGTGTCGTGTGGAACTCGATTTGGTGGGGCGTCAGCTCGTTTTCCACCAATATTCAACAACCGGTGGAGAACGGACTGGCACCGCGCGTCCTTCAAACATGCTTCAGGTTCTGTAGCGAAAATGACTGCAATTATAGCCAAGAATACAATGAGGAAACATAGCTAATACGTCTCAACCGCCACCATAGTGGTCAGGGTTACTGTTTTGTGCAGCAGCTGCAATCCCAACGATCCATTTTGAAAAGACACAATTTTTCGATCCATCATCTCGTCTCAGGGCACTTGTCAACCGGGAAGCCTCTCTTCTCTTTCCTTTTTTCTTCCTCCTTCCTTCTTTTCCTTCCTTCCTTCTCTGATCCCTCCTCCTTTACCTTCTCCCTCCAACTACTGGACTGGTAGATACCTCGAGAAAATACCAGTGGACCCTCGCAGCGAGAGCACCTCTGACTGTCAAGCGCGCCCGTCGCTCCAAAACCTACGCCAACACGGCTCATTTGCTGGATTCATACTTTTCTCCAGCGCTTTGAGCGACTAGGTCAAGTATGAAAGCACTCTTACAGGATGGCCAAACAGCATGAAATGTTCCAGTTATAGAACAACGACTCAAACCCAACACAGGAGGTGAGAAGGAGTTGTGAGGATTAGCAGACCATCTAAACAGGATATCTATTTTGAAACTAATCAGTGCTCGCAATTTCACGCAGGAACCGCAGAAATTCCAAGGTTACCAAAGCAGAAGTGTTAATTAACTCCATAACAATTACTCTGAAGTGATAAAGTGTGAAATGTCATGGCTGCATCCATCATAGAATGAATGCAACGAAGACGAGAGGAATTTGCTGAAGACATGTCGCAGAGCGAATCGTAATGATGTCTTCGCGGCAAGA